TTGAATTAATTTTGAGTTTGAGTTAAAAATTGGAAGTGATATGATCACCTAAACCAAAACAATTGCAGTGGCCATTTAGGATGTTGAGTTTTTTTCAGAGAAACAGCAGGTTTGGAAGAATCTTCAGGAAAGTCTCATTTGTTTGCTGGTTTTGATAATCTGTGTGTTTTGCACAAGGTCCTTGGAGGGCTTTCAGATGATCAGGGAGGGCTCAGTAAAGCTGCAGGAACACAAGACAGCCCAGGGGGAAAACCACATCCTGGGGCACACCAAACACAGCAAAACCAATGGGCCAAGGGAGGGGATTGTCCCAGTTTATTTATTCAGTGTTGGTGTGGCCTCACCTCGGGCACCGTGTGCAGTTCTGGACACACCGTTTGAGAAGGATGTGAAGGTCCTTGGGTGCATCCAGAGGGCGGCAACAAAGCTGGAGGAAAGGCTGGAAGGCACGTCCTGTGAGGAGTGGCTGAGGAGCCTGGGCTTCTCTAATTTGGAGTGGAGGAGGCTGAGGGACAACTTGCTCCCTGCAGCTGCCTCGGGATCTACTTACAGGATGCGTGAGAATGGTTCAAAACTGAACAGGGGTGGTTCAGGCTGGACATTAGGAGGCATTTCTTTACCAGGAGAGTGGTCAAACCCTGAAACAGACTTCTTAGAGAGGTCATCAATCACAGAACCATAGAATGGCTTTGTTTCGAAGAGATCTTAAAGCCCATCTCATTCCACCCACTGCCGTGGGCAGGGACACCTTCCACCAGACCAGGCTGCTCCAAGCCCCATCCAGCCTGGCTTTCAACACTTCCAGGGATCCAGGGGCAGCCACAGCTTCTCTGGGAAACCTGTGCCACTGCTGTAACATGCTTTAACTTGGTCAGCCCTGAATTGGTCAGGCAGTGGGACTAGATAGTCATTGTAAGTCCCTTCCTACTGAAAATACTCTCTTCTATTCACATGGGAACCCCCACCTTCCCTCTAGCTGTCCACATGACACTCCCATTGATTTTGAAGTGTGTCTTTGATGTCCTCGTTTAATTGCTGTCATCGGAATATCTTTATATCTTTGGGCTTGGCCAAACTGTGGAAAGAAGACTTTTCTTTGCCTTCATCAAACCTGCATCAAGTTACAAATAAATATAGATGTGTTGGGTTAATTTTTATATGTATATAAAAATTACATTTCCCCTGCATGTTGCCTGGGTGTCAGGCAGTGAAGAGTGTGTACAGGGAGGGTCTCAAGCCTTCATTTTAACTGCTGCTGGTTCAGACAAATCTAAAAAGCTCTCGAGGAGGACCAGAGCCTCCAGGGTTGGAGGAGATTGGGATAAGCAGGTGAGAGTATTCTCACAGCAGTCAGATGAAGGTGTTCACCTCTCAGAATATTGATGAGAACAGGCTGTCCTTGCAGGGTAGAAGAGGGAGGGACAGCTCCAGAAGCTGGAGAGAGTTACAAGCAGGAACAATTATCCCCTTGAGCAAATTTACTTTTTTTTTTCATTTTTCTAGAAGGTAGATGTAGCTGACCGATGTGGTTAGTTTGGAGGGTTTTTTTTCCTTTTTTTTTCCTATTTTTTGTTTGTTTGTTTGTTTGTTTGTTTGGGTTTTTTTGGGATCTTATTTGCCAGCCAATAGTGCAGCTTCCTCCCTGCCTTCTCAACTTATACCAGCTGCTGGGCAAGATTAGACAGTGCCAGGATCAGGAAAGGAAACATGTTCATATACATATTCATAAACATATAGTTATCTTATAGGACACTTTACTTTTTAGCTATTAGAAGTTGGCACTGTCCTATTCTGTTATCAGAATTCAATATGTTGATCAGATGGCTCTTTATAAGAGGGGATTACAATCATTTGGAGTGGGATTTTAGTACAGTGTAAGCTGCAGTTTTGTCCTCCAAGTAAACAGAAATACGTGAATAATACACATGCACACAAACGCCATAAATCAAATATAATGGCCTTTATTTTCTGCAGTAGTGCTTTTTCAAATTGTCTCAGTAGTATATTGTAGTTGAAGATTGCCTTTTGCTGCAAAGTAAAAGAAATGTGCCCCATAGAACATAAAGAAAACAAAAATGTCAGTAACATGTAACTATAGCTGTAGCTGGAAATCTGATTTCTGGTGGATCAAGTAAGCTGGTTTCAAATGCATGATTAGTCAGTGAAAATTCAGTGTCAACTTTTCTTAATGTACATGCTCTTAAAAGACCTAAGCCTTGACTTTATTCAGGTTTACCTTGGAGGATTTAATAATGGAGATGCTTAATCTTCAATGTGATGCAAGCTCTGGTGGTCAGAGGGACTGTTAAGAAACCACAGGTTTGTGAGATTGCATTGCTCTTGGTATGGGTTTAAAATCAGACTTTTCAGTAAACAAGTTCAGCTTTGAAAATAGGAACAGCCTAATAAATTTATCCTCTTCATACCACATGCTGTGGTCTCATCCAAGTTGATCAGTTAAGCCTAAATGTGATGGTTGTGACTGGGTGTCTTGTTGATCCTGTCCATGGAGAACGTTGGCAGGAGTCAAAGATAAAGTGATATCACTTCCCTTATGGAACCAGGCTGGGAGAGCTGGGGGTGTTCACCGGAGAAGAGAAGGCTCCAGGGAGACTTTAGAGCCTCTTCCAGTGCCTGAAGAGGCTCCAGGAGAGCTGGAGAGGGACTTGGATCAAGGGATGGAGGGACAGGACAAGGGGTAATGGCTTCTTGCTGCCAGAGGGCAGGATTAGATGGGATATTGGGAAGGAATTGGTGTCTGTGAGGGTGGTGAGGCCCTGGTACCAGTTTCCCAGAGAAGCTGTGGCTGCCTCTGGATCCCTGGAAGTGTTGAAGGCCAGGTTGGACAGGGCTTGGAGCAACCTGTTCTAGTGGAAGGTGTCCCTGGCCATGGCAGTAGGGTGGAAGCAGATGGTCTTGAATATCCTTTCCAACCCAAAGCATTCTGTGATTCTACAGTTGAAGATCCTTTCAATTTCTTGACTAGTCTAACCAGATTGAATGGCTGGAGTGAGACCTATAGAGGCTTGACATAAAGTATAGTTCTGGTTACAAGGCTGGTTAAATATACTAAATAGGAACAGTGGACTTACGACCATTTAGATCTTCTAAACATCATCATTCTGAAATATACTCTTTAATTTGGTTTAGAAAAAAAGGTCTGTGGCCTCTGTGTGTATCTGGAAGGGCAGGCCTGTGGGTTGAGGGTTTTCCTCAGTATGGGATCCTGTAAATTCTTTATCTTCTCCATCCCTGGCCTGTGGAGCGAAGAGAATAGCCTGTGTTGCTCAAAACATGCTGTGGTCAGGAAAAAAAAAGGCATGAAAGCTTAGGATATTGCCTCCTTGCAGCAACTTCCTCTCCTGAAAATTATTATATCTGCAAATGAAGAGCCAGAAGGGATTGTGTGTTTCTCAACTTCCAGAGCAAAGGTAGGTGACTGAGTTAACCGGGTTGTGAATGTTGTTTAAAGCAAAGCAATGGGAGATGTTGGGTTTGATAAAGTCTTGGGCTTAGAGCCCCGCTGGTTGTACCCAGGGGTCAGCTGCTGGTGGCACTCTTCTCTGTCCCATTCTTTGCCCAAGGTACACAAATAATTTTGTCTCTAGAGACGGTGCTTTAGCCACACTTGACTATGTCCAGCAGGAATTGTAGAGAGGTACCAGCCTGTGAAACGCGGGTGGTTGGGTGCAAAACCCCCTGGCCAATTTTTCACCTATGAAGCCATGAAATGATGGGGTTTTTTTGATTTGGTGGGGGTGTTGTAGCCTAGAGTTCATGTGTTTGTTGATTCTTGCCAAAGTCAGCAAAGGAGACTTAATTTTGTAAATCTTCACTGGAAGCTTTTCCAGTTTAGCACTCCAGGGGTGTGTTTCTCCTGGAGAGATACCAGGTTCCAGTGGGGATAGCTTGGTAGAACCATCATGAACTGCCTTTTTTATCTCACAATACGTTAGGCTAGTTAAGGCTTGCTGGAGCACTTAGAATCATGGAATCACTTAGGTTGGAAAAGACTTCCAGGATTATCAGGTCCAGCTTTAAGATCACTGCGTCACGTCATCACATCACATCATCACACTTGCCACACGCTGGGCTGAGCACCATTGTGCAGTGAAGGATTTTCTGTGCAAACCCTGTAACAAAAGATGGTCGAGGTTTTATTTTGTATGTGCTTCAGAGTTTACTGGTGATGCAGTTTGTTGCAGGTGAACTGCTCTAATGAATTTATTTTCCTTTCCGTTATGAGTGGGAGGATATCCTGTACATAGGTATAGGCTATATATCTATTATTCAAGAGCATTCAGAGTTGCTTAATGTGAATATTAAATGTTCTGTTGCTTGCTCTATAGTTACTTCATGGAAGTGATTGTAGTTTTTCGTGGAAAAGCTGACCAGGTCTTAATTGTGTAACTCGATTTTGATAAAGCACCATGTTTGAGGAACTAGAATTAAATACAGGAGTGAGTTCTCTACCACTGGAATCCCAGGCTGCAAGGCCAGTTCACATTGATCAATAATTCTGTGGGAACTTTTTCCCTTGAATCAGGTATCAGTTTTCATGAAAGTAAGTTAAATATTGTGAATACTCTCAGATTTTTTTAAAAAGTAAACTTTGTAAACCAGGACCAGTCCTCTGCACTTACAATTTTAGGGCAGGTGCAGAGAGGCATAACACTTTTCTTAAGATGATATCGTCTCCAAAAAAAAAAAAAACAAACAAAGAGGGGGACAATCCAAAAAAAGCCCAAATTCTTGTGTCTCCAATGCCTGAGACCTGGCAGGTTCCCCTTGCAGTAGTGACAGAACCAGCGTGTGGGCACAGGCGAAGGGATCCCTCCGTCTCTTGAAACTGTTGTTTTATGTCAAACCACCCCATTGCTTTCTGGGCATCTTCCATTGACTCTTGGCACAAAAACCAAGGATGTTAAACCATGACTTAGCTTTCTTAAAGGAAAATACCTCTTTTTTCTGTTTTGTCTCCCTCTGCCCTTGTCTTTCAGTTATACCTGCCGCCACTTGCGGAGATATGTGTATGTCTTGGACAAACTGTATTTCCCCCACTCCCACTGCTCTACGCTGCAGCATTGCTTCTCGACCCTCAGTGACAATGGAGAGGAACTCTTGTCTTTAACTTGTTCTCACATTCTCAGATCCTATGCTTCCAGGTTATTAACCTCTGCTCTCCATTTACTGCATGCTGCATGCTCTGTGCCTGATCTGTGCATGTTTTCAGTTAACTGATGAATAATTTTGATTTCTAAGGGGATGGTTTGTGTCTTGATGGCATCCTTGATGTGTATCCTAAAAAGTGTGGTAGAAATGGGACTCTAGTAATGGTTTGGTTTTGTCTTTTTAACTTTAGAATACAAATTCTGTGGCCTTTGGAAGTTTTAAATGCTTTTTATGTTGAAGTATTTTAATCCTTTTCCAAAGCTATGACATAAGAATCTCGAGCTGTTATCCGCAAACCTTTCATATAGTTGCGTAGTTTGTTTGGAATTAGTGCAGAGATATAAGTTCTCTTACATGTAAGTGTCTTATACTTCCTTGACACCCACTGTTTTGGTAATATTGTCTATATAAATTGCTTTTCAAGAATGGAAATCATTGAGCTTTTCCCTCAAGTTCAGTAAATTTTCATGACAGTTAATCATAGGATCATTTCTGTTGGAGAAGCCTTCCAAGATCATCAAGTCCAACCATTCCCCAGCAGTGCCCCATGACCCAAGTGCCACATCCACACAGCTTTTAAATCCCTCCAGGGATGAGGATTCCACCATTGCCCTGGGCAGCTGTGCCAGGGATGGACAACACAGTGAAATTTTTTCCAGTATAGAACCTAAACCTCACCTGGCACAACTTGAGCCCATTTCTTCTTGTTCTGTCACTAGTTATTTGGGAGAAGAGACTGACGATTAAGAAAGATCTGTCTTTTTTGGTATAACTGATCAGTTTTGATTGTACAGAATAAGAATTATGAGGGTCCATCAGCTCAAAATGACAATATATAGTCCTTGTTCATGGTGTAGAATTATAGGTGTTCTGCAAAAACTATAAAGAAACTGTGAAGGGGGTGAGTTTAAAAATAAGTTCCACTTGAAATACCAAAGGATTTCTCTAAGCTGTTTACTCCAAGTAAAAATTTAAGTTTTACTATTTCACCATTGATGCTGCGGATAATTGAATATGTTAACCAAGATCCTAGAAGCTTTAGGAAAACAAGGAAAAAATCGCGTGACAAAATTGATCAGAACATGGAAAGCATCCAGGGTGGAAATGCAGCTTCCCAGCTAAGCCAGCGTACAATAGCAAGAGACCACACAGTAAACATAAGTAAAACCAGCTTGATTGTCAAGGGAAGAAAATGCGGCATGCAAGCTGAAATAGCTCTTTTTTGTACAGAAGAAAAAATTTTATAGTAGTACATAATGATGGAGAGTTACACTGAAGGATCTCAACAGGAGATGAAAATCTAGCTGTCCCAGGGGCATTCTCCGGATTAATTTGGAACAGGAATATGGTATTAAAGTAGTCAAAAGCCTAAGATTTCAAAGGCTTATTTAAAAATGAATACTAATAACGAGGGGAGTCCACGGCAGAATCTCGTTTAAGATGTACTGTTTTACATGTAGGAATGATGTCCTGAAAACATAAGTAGCATAATTCTCCCAGCTTGTTTCCGTGAAATTTTGGTAATTCTGTGCGGCGGCAACACTACAAGGTTAAGATGACAGAATCATCCTTGGGAGACTAAGTGCTGTTCCATGGATATTGGATCTTTCAGGTGTTTTATGTGTGAAAATAAGAACTGATAGCACTATATGGACTCTCATGTAACAAGCTTGTGAAGTTTTTATAGCAAAAAGTTTCTAGTACTGAAACTGATGGAGAAATAGTTTACTGGTATCACTTTCAGAAATGGGACTTATGCATCAGTTGAGGTGCATCAGAATACATCAGTCTGGGAGATTGTAAAATCACAGATTTTCACTGCAGGTTGTCCTTTTCCGAGGCAGGAGGAGAATAGAGGATTTGGAATAGAAATTGCTGCTGGAGAAATATAGAGGTAGTAGCTTTTAATGGCTAAATCTCTGTTGTTCTGGTGCTGTATGATTGGAAAAGTGGATTCTCAGGAAACCTGCCTGCCTGGGTCTGTAAGCAGTGTCAAATGCGGCAGCATAACTGAGTTGCCAAAAGTTTTTTGTATGAATCCACGCACCTCTTCTGTATTACATACTGAACAGCCTGGTTAGAGAAGAGATGGGATTTATAAATTACTAAAGGCAGAGGATAATTAACTGATACCCCCAGATGGTGTTGCCTGTCTTTGTACATCCCATAGAATTAAGGGTTTTATTACTATTTTGAAACATTTTATGTGCAAATATATTTATTTTCGAGTGAAACGTATTCAAAACAAACGTGGGCAGCGGGGAAGGGGAGGACTCTACTCCTCTGCCCCTTCAGGTGAGATCCCCCTGTAGAGCTACTGGGAGGGCTGGGGGGGTTCACCTGGAGAAGGATCCAGGGAAACCTGAGAGCCCCTTCCAGTGCCTAAAGGGGCTCCAGGAGAGCTGATGAGGGACTTGGGACAAGGGATGGAGGGTCAGGATGAGGAGGAAAGGCTTCTTGCTGCCAGAGGGCAGGGTTAGATGGGATATTGGACAGGAATTGCTGTCTGTGAGGGTGGTGAGGCCCTGGCACAGGTTTCCCAGAGAAGCTGTGGCTGCCCCTGGATCCCTGGAAGTGTTGAAGTCCAGGTTGGAGGGGACTTGGAGCAACCATGTCTAGTGGAAGGTGTCCCTGCCCATGGCAGTAGGGTGTGGAACTGGATGAGCTTTAAGGCCCCTTCCAGCCTAAACCAGTCTGTTATTCTAAGTTTTTCAAGCTTCCGTGGTTGTGTGTAAGGTAGTGGCCGTGATGTGTCGCAGCCATAGGCACACCACATCCCACACTTCCTGAACAGCTAACACTGGGTAAAGTGGGGGATAGGGAAGGGAAAATAGTACATGTTTTGCTATCCCATGGGGAGTAGACCCACAACACCAGTTCTCCAGGCAGCTTTAACTGGGATTTGGTGCCGGTGTCGCTTCGATTTCTTTTCCAAATTCTGTAATCATAGGAGATACAATACCTGTTTTATTATGCACTGCATTAGGTTGCACAAATACTGAGCCTGGGATTGTAATCTGTCATTTCAAATGTGTAATAATTCTGCTGGGGCTGTGCTATATATTGATTACTGCAATAACTGTGCTTTGTCATGTGAAATATGTTCTCCCACTCTTACCGTTGTGGTTTCCTTTTGCATTGCATGTTCATTGTGTGATGTTTTAATGCTCGTGTGTGTTCCCTTTTTGTTTCAAACCTCTTTGGCTTGCAGTCAAGCTCAGGAAAATTGCTTTTGAAGATGAACTGTCTTAGTGCATGTGCTAGTAGAGAGGCAGCTAACAAGAAATGATTAGTTCTGGGACGCTGAACAAATTAAGGACAGTTTTATTTTCATAGCAAGCTTGACATTGTGTGTGAAAGCAGGAAATATGGTTTTGCTGAGCCTTGTAAATTGAGTAAACATATTCTTAGTGTAGTAGAGGTAAAAATTATTATGGACTAATTTGAATTAAGGTGTGGTTTTTTCCCCCGGAGAAAAAAGACCAACAAATACAATGTCAAATTGGCACACAGTTTACCTATTCTGCACATCTTTTATTGCTTAATGCTAGGTTTGTTTAAACAGCAAAATGTATCTAATAAGATTTTAATACTCCCTTTCAGAAATGTTCTGGCATATTTTCCCAAGCGTATAGAGGATAGGCTTTGCAGCCATCCTCCTCCAATGCCATCAGAGTCAAGGGAATTATGCAATTACACTAATTTAGGAATGTGCAGCCTTTGCGGGATCAGGACCTTGGAGGTTAGCTCTAAGAAATACTGCTAATTGCTAGAAATGGTTCTGGTGCTGCAAAGTGATGCTGAAGTGCTGCTTAAAGCCAACTTGAACTCATTCTCCAGCTGCCAGCTCCTTTTTCCTTGGAGTGTGAGCTGTGCTGGGGCATAGGGAGGGCCTGGATCCCAGTCCTTTGTCCTGGTGTGGGTTACTGGCCTGTCCTTCAGTACAAACAGGAAAGGTGTCAGGGTATACTCCTCAAAAACAGATAAAACATTTGCAATTCTGATGTGTTTTCTTTGGCTTTAGTCTGTGAAGGAAAGATGGGGAAAAATGTAAGGCAAATACATTTATTATTGAACCTTAAATGATTTTTGTGTGAATTAGTGGAAATGGAGATGTACATCAATTCATATTCTTTCAAATGGGTTTTGACAAATGTGAATTCTTTTTCTCTGATTCTGTAGATCATCTTGAGTGTTTGTTTACATTCAGTTTTTAGGCAGTTAGTATAAAAATCTGAGTTAGTGCAAGTGAAATAGTCAGTACATCAGCCTGGCTTAGAGTCATCAAATCGTTTGGATTGGAAGGGACCTTAGAGCTCATCCAGTTCCACCCCCTGCTATGGACAGGGACACCTTCCACTAGACCAGGTTGCTCCAAGCCCGATCCAACCTGGTCTGGAACACTTCCAGGGATGGGAAAAATACTGATCCTTCCTTCATTGTGAGCTTAACCTGTCAGAAGTTTCATGAATAGCCCCACTTACGTCGCAGGAAAAGAGGTAGAATAATGAAAATGGCAGAATCTGGATCTGGCACAGGCAAGAAACAGCTTCACCTCATCTATTACTAAAGAAAAGTAGTTTTGGAATGTCAGGCAACTTAGTTTAAAATATTCCCCCCCCCCCCCACACCTCTACGATAAAGAGATCTAAAAAATTTGGTAGATTTCAGCACTTTTAAGGAATAATCAGACTGGTTTCTCTTTTTGACTATGCTGACTAAAAACATTTTTTCTGCGGAGTATTTTAGTAAGATTCTGCACTTTGCCTCCAAAACTGGCATCTGACAAATGATCTGTGGGTGTTTTTAACCCCACAAGCAGTATTCAGTGATCTCTGCTCAGCATCCTGCCAAGCTGGAAGGCTGATGGGAAGAGGATTGGTACCCAGTCAGGGATTGCAGTATCATTGCATTATCATAGAGCGATATGTGAAATTTTTCTTGTTTTTGAGACATATGGCATCATTCCTGCAGCCTTTAATGTGAGAGTTGG